TATACCAGTCTTTTGCCTTAGGTGTTGGTAGTGAAATTTGGGTGGTAATGTCCGTAGACTTATTACCGTTATTGTCTTTCTCTGGGGAAGGAGGAGCACAGTGTATGCTCTCATATATAGTGTGTGTTAGGTGTGTACAGGAGACGCTTATAGTGTGTATGTGTGTACAGGGGAAGTTTATAGTGTGTCTTAGGTGTGTACAGGAGATGTTATAGTGTGCATGTGTGTACAGGAGACGTTTATAGTGTGTATGTGGGTACAGAAGATATTTATAGTGTGAATGTGTGTACAGGAGATGGTCTAGGTTGTGTATGTGTGTACAGGAGATGGTCTAGGTTGTGTATGTGTGTACAGGAGATGGTCTAGGTTGTGTATGTGTGTACAGGAGATGATCTAGGTTGTGTATGTGTGTACAGGAGATGGTCTAGGTTGTGTATGTGTGTACAGGAGATGGTCTAGGTTGTGTATGTGTGTACAGGTATTAATAGTGTGTCTCATGTGTGTACAGGAGACGTTAATAGCGTGTGTGTGTGAGTACAGGAGATGTTGACTTCGGTTTACAAACATATATCTTATTGACAAGATATTTGTTTTAATATTTTTTCTTAGTCTTTCATAAACGTCTGTTTAAGGTAATGAAGGAAACAATGAAACAAGTTCAGGTTTATTGTAAAAATATTTTCACAAATGTATCGAGATGTACAAAACTCCATAATTATAATCCTCTAGTTCTGTTTACACCATCTCATCCCTATTTTATATATGCTACCAATTTTTTTCTTTAATATCACAAAGTGAGTTTTCTCTCTTTCTCTCTCTCTCTCTCTAGTCTGAGTTCATAAGGTAGATGCAGTGTAGCGGTGAACTGATTTGTCTCAAACATATATACAATAATGAAACACTTACAAACAATGAGTAGACTTCCAAAGCTTTACAATAGTATTAACAGTTTGTAATGCACCAATGGGGCAAAGACTAAAAAGTGATTTGCTTTTTTTTATATAACATTTCCATTAAGCTGGCAAGAATGTGACTATGAAATCCTGGCTACTGAATATTTTACATACTCACACTGAAGGGGCTCAAGTGATGATGATGGTGATGATGATGATGATTGATGGTGATGATGATGATGAGCAGTATGGCGCTGAGGTGATTCAAGTATGTGTATTATCAACACTGGGGAAACATTGAATGTCTCATCTCTTCAATACGATCTTCTGTTACCACACCAACAGCACAATAGAAGTTACCTTACAAAAAACGACTTGCTCTTATGATCAATCGTACCACATGTCATTCACCTGTTCTAAAAAATATCCACGTCAGAGCTTGCTTGATCAGGTGTGTGTGTGTGTGTGTGTGTGTGTGTGTGTGTGTGTGTGTGTGTGTGTGTGTGTGTGTGTGTGTGTGTGTGTGTGTGTGTGTGTGTGTGTGTGTGTGTGTGTGTGTGTGTGTGTGTGTGTGTGTGTGTGTGTGTGTGTGTGTGTGTGTGTGTGTGTGTGTGTGTGTGTGTGTGTGTGTGTGTGTGCGCGCTCCACCAAAATGTTCCCTCTTTTTCCAGGACAAATATTTCCTTGTAGTTGATACATCTTCATACACACAAAAATCATATAGTACAGATAACCTTTGGCGTCAGGACACTAATTACTCTTTACCTGGAGAAGATAAGACCTGTGTTAATGTAATGAAATTGGAGAAGCTTATCACACACTCACACACACACACACACACCTGGTGCTGGTAACTGGTGGGCTGATTAACACACACTTAACAGCTGGTGGTGTTGATTCTGACAGGTGGTGATGGTAATAGCTGGCAATCATATTAGCACTCTTAAAAACACCTGGTGACGACAGCTGGCCTGACACACACTGACAGCTGTTGATAGTGACAGTTGGTAGTCACACTAACACACACTGGCAGCGGGTAATGATAGCTGTCTTGGCCGTGCTGACACACCGACGGAGGGACACCCAGCATTAGTGAATTAATGAAAGAAATATGGGAAATAATGAAATGATACTAAACGTGACTCTAATGGAATTGGTGAGGAATTACGTGAAAACAAAATATAACGAAAAAACAAAAAAAAAACAGAGATAAAGTGAATAAAAGATGAATGTAGATATACGTAGATTATAACATTTATAGAACAGAGGCGATCGATGTGTAGGTCGTAATAGAGTGTGTGTGTGTGTGTGTGTGTATGTGTGTGTGTGTGTGTGTGTGTGTGTCATATTGTTATAGGAAAAGGGGGGTGGTCTAGGGGATGGAATGAGGGGTTCTTATACAATGATGTATGGTAAGTACAAAATAACAATGATCACAGGAAGACAATCCAGAGTGATGAATGATACTCCTGTTGTATGATCTCTCTCTCTCTCTCTCTCTCTCTCTCTCTCTCTCTCTCTCTCTCTCTCTCTCTCTCTCTCTCTCTCTCTCTCTCTCTCTCTCTCTCATTTAACTCTCAGACACAAACCTATGAAATAAACAGTATTGTATATTATCTGTAAGAGAAGGTCACAAACACAAACCTCCTTTACATAATCAAGTCAAACAAGATAGAAGTCACTGGGGTGTTCCCTGTACTTGACGTTACCAGTGGTAACCAGGAGGAACACAGGGGGTAATGCGTAGTAGTTTACATATCAACAAATACAGCTCAGTCTCTTATATCAACGACAGATCGACGATATATAAACACGGAGTCCCTGTACAGACTTGCTTTATGCTGTCATAACACTGATTAAAAAAAATAGTTTATAGTACAATATGACAACTGAGTGTGTCAATCTCATGAGAGGGTTAGCGTTCAATCTCTTCACACTACAGCACAGGCTCACGACACTCACACGGTACTCTCAATTTTGCTTTGACACGTTATGTAATTAAGCAAATAATCGATGACCTTAGATAGAGAGACAAGTTTTCTACAGAGACCTGTAACACGTCTTCTTGATGCCACTGTGAGAATTTGAATTGTATTTATGTTTTCTGATTATATACAAAAGCATTCGTATCATTTATACCACATTGGCCTTAGTCTTCTATTCAAGTATACTGTAAATAGTGGAGGTTGAGCTATGTGCCAGAAACGTGTGTGTGTGTGTGTGTGTGTGTGTGTGTGTGTGTGTGTGTGTGTGTGTGTGTGTGTGTGTGTGTGTGTGTGTGTGTGTGTGTGTGTGTGTGTGTGTGTGTGTGTGTGTGTGTGTGTGTGTGTGTGTGTGTGTGTGTGTGTGTGTGTGTGTGTGTGTGTGTGTGTGTGTGTGTGTGTGTGTGTGTGTGTGTGTGTGTGTGTGTGTGTGTGTGTGTGTGTGTGTGTGTGTGAACCTGTCTACATGCACACATCATATAACACTTCAGTCTGACGAACATACAAGCTACAATGTCATGTTCATTCTAAAAGACATCATGTAACATATGGCCAATTTGTGTACAAAAAAAAACTCAAAACAGCCTCTACTTAGGAGCGACCGACTAACTACACAGATTATCTATAGTACAAAAGTCTAGCGGCTCCTGATACACACAAATAAAGCAAGTCGTTAACTGTCCCATTACTGATATGTTTACACGTGGAATAAGAGAGAACAGCAGTAAACAATGTGGATGAATTTTCTTACAAAAAACACATATTTCAAGTATTATAAGGGTACAAGATAACATGCCAAGAGTTTCTCAGTATAAAAATCTGTTGGTAAATATTGTTTTTTTTTTTCTTCGTTCATTTATGTCGTAATTTAGTCGTGTGTCTTGTAAAAATATTGTTTATTGTCGGTGACTTAACAGTTACCACTCCTGCAAAATTTATTGAGATTTTTCTGTATTATTTTCGTGAATTAGTTTCATAATGAAACTCAAAACACAATTAAATAACACGTTAAATTTCGCGTAATGTTAGTAGTTTCTCCTTGCTATAAAATATTTTAGTTACACTTTCCAGATGATTGTAATAATTTAGTAGCAATTACAACGACGTTTTTCTTTCCTCCCACAAAATATTTTTTCAAATCCACGACTACAACTATGTGGTACTGTGAGCTTGTGACTAGCTAATCACTTCACACACCTCACCAGAACGAGTTTCTTCAATGGCACGTAAGATTACAAGTTTTTTTTATAAACCAACAATCAGTTCCACAGTATACGACATAAAATAATGTTACTGTGGATGGAGGAGAGTGAGTGTCACACCTTCTGCACCGACTCTTCTTCTTCAGTAGCACTATACAGCCAGGGTGGTGTGTTGGAGGGAGAGCACATCCTCACGACACGACTCTGCTGTAAAAAAAAAACACACACACAAAAAAATCACCGCATCAACCACGCACATGCTGACGACACCCACCACGTCTGTTTAGTACTTGTTGGCTGCGAGTACCAGAGTTAACACCTTCATTGTCCTGAACTGTGTCTGGTGGTAAGCGAAGAGAGTCCATTATTACCAGTAAATCTTGTATGTCTCTGTTTTGTTTCCGGCTACAAGTTATAATGTCTTTTCACTTCATTAATTACATAAAAATATCTAATTTGGGTACTTCACTGGGCTAAAGACTTATTAAACTCTCATCACGTGGAAGCAAAATATTGGCTGGTATCGTTGTGTTCGTTCAGTTGCTGCTAAAATGATGATGGAATAACTGGCGTGGAATACGTACTCTCAGTCAGACACTTCCAGATATAATATACACTTCCCTGAGTCATGCATCCCCTCTTTTTGCACACGGTTTTTTCTGTTATAAACGAAATATATTAATATACCAATTGACAGCGTCGTCCGTAGCACAAGTAAAGACGGTGGCTGGGTAGTCCTTGGCTGCCACCTGAGCGTTATGAAGTGCTGAACATAACCCAGTGGTGTTGCACAGCTGGTGGTGGCGGTGTGTGTGTGTGTGTGTGTGTGTTGTCATCTTACTACTAATATGGCAGCGCTGGGCCAAAATGACTGGCTGTCTTGGTGGCTCGCGAACACGGAATGTGGGCAGGGGGGGGGGGCAGAGAAAACTCGCTTTGGGGGTGATTAGACGGCACTCTCTTGGTGGCTGGTGGCTAGGAAGGTGCCTACAGCTCGCGGATGAGGGGGTCCTCCTTCCCGTAGCCTCTCTCCTCCCCGGCGCAGCGTCCCGTATACACTAACACTTTCATCTCGGCCCATCGACGGCGCCTGGGAGGGATGGTGACCCCGGACAGGATGCAGCACGCCCGCCAGGTCATGCAGGGAAGTGGTGGTGGTCATGCAGCCATCGATCATATCATGACCCATATCCCTGGGGTCTATCATGACCTGTTGCATGTGGGTGGGGTGGGCGGGGTGGGCGGGGTGGGCGGAATGGGAGGGGTGGGCAGGGTAGGCGTGGTAAGGGTGTGGGGCGAGGCTCGTGTACACTACAGGTTCTTCACGACGTCTGATGGTAGAACTGAGCGGGCCGCCAGACATCACCTCAACGTACTCCACGTCCACTCCCTGAAACACCAACACATATATATTACTGTTCAACATACACTCGTCTATGGTGTTCCTAAGACACTTTTTAACTACTTTATTCTACTTATTTCCATATTTGATCTATGCTTTTAGTGAGTTATCAAATTATCAGAATTTAAACTTTTTGAAGACAGACCCATAATCTGCACGTCAAGGAATACCTATACTGATATCTTGAGCAAAATTAATTAGTCAGCCCCCCAAAAAAACTGCAAGGTATCAACAGACCTCCATTAAATGTTCACATAAGTGTATACAACCACAAGATACCCTGCGAAATGTTATCTATTCACAGTATTGATCCTATAAACATTGTTATGCTCTTAATGTAAGCAATGTAACATTATACCGTACGCGCCTGGAGACATTCATCACATACACCCGTTCATGGTATATGTTAAGTCCGCCTCAACTTCTAGTTTTACGGGATTATTGAATATTGGCAGCAGAACGAAAGTCAGGATCAAACAACCGTTCTAGCAGAGCCTATTACGCATCTCTTTGTTGTAATCCCTTTGATAATAATCATGGCCGACTTAGTAAAGCAGATTATCCCTTTCTTGTATGGAGCAAATCACCAGCTGGAGCTTCATTAACTCGGATCATAAGACTTTATGGACCCCGTCAATCATGCTTCTTTTACCAGCCTGACCTCATTATATAAATGCACGGATGAGAGGGGACACGTGTGCTTATATATTTCATAAATATTATAATGGAACGAAAGCCATAAGGTGATCTTATGCAGACACAGAGAGATTATAGAACGAACTGATCTCGTGTAAGACAAACTCCTTCTGAATAAATACATTGAAGTCTTTATCTTATACCATAGGAGACAACATAACTCCGAGCCAACCCCATCCTAATCTAGTTATTCTTAAGCATTCTGTCAACACAAACTTCTCAAACACCTGGCCAAGATGGATGTGCAGAGTGGGCAGAATGGGGCTTGTCATCTCGGAATGGTTTCAGATTCTTCGTTCATTTTTCAGATTGTTTAGTACTAAAAGCGTTCGAAGAGTTTTGGGTGAATGTACATATTAAAGAAACAAAAAAAAAAGTGCCTTCATGGAGGAGTTCTACCTTAGGGGATGGGACTAACTCCGAAAAACTCAACTTTTGAAATCTACACCAACAAACAAACAGACGCTGTGTTTTATATATTACATTTTCTGATGATCTTTACAAAATGTGTATTACAAAGACAACGCTCACTAGGTATAAACTAATCGCGTGCTGTACATGACCCACCCTTAAATAACAACTAAACCCAAGTGTAGGAATCTTGGCCACAATTACGTGTACATAACAGGGTTAGGGTGAGTTATAACAGCAGTATATGTATGTTAGATCGAAATGAATACTATGTTTATTACAGGTAAACTTGTTCACGAGGTTTGTTAATAACCCTAGACGTTGTTAATATTACATGGACTCTTTTATTATAACTTGGAGCATGAAGTACGGGCGTGATTTTTACTTAAAATTTCGAGGATATTATTATTTTCATGTATATGCGTGAAGGTGATTACAAGGAACATTAATTTTTAGTGAAGGATGTAAGAGCATAGTTAGAATTCTGGCAGTCTAAATATTCAATTAATATCATATGCTACACTTCATAACTATTACGGATGACGTCTTAGATATAGGAAATAGCCTTATTTAATGTTTAACTGTTCTTCCTCCTTTCACGACATTATTTTGCTCCAAACAATTAGGGAGGATAAGGCTCTCTACCTTTGTATCATGCTGTACACGACCATGTGTGTGTTAAGTGAGTGAACCGTTATTAGCAGGGAGAAGTGTTTGGTGTAACACTCACCTTGTGATGGTCCGGCAGCGTGGTGGTCACCCCCGACACGCTGTTCCCCTGAAGGATCGCCACCGCCTCCACACACCTCGGCGTCCCTAGACCTAGAGTCTCCTCCAACTCCTCGTCCTCCTCGCCTTCAGGAGAGAAACAAAAATTATATTAGTGACAGATCGTGTGGAGTGTGTTTCGTTGGGGCAAGTTATCAAGTTTATTAAAATGTTAGACTGAATCTCATATATATAAATATATATATATATATATATATATATATATATATATATATATATATATATATATATATATATATATATATATATATATATATATATATATCCACAACTTGTATGTGATGACATAAATAAACAAACGCTAACTGTAAATGGACTTTTGTTCTCCTGTATTGGTAAATATTGTATTGTTTTGTTGGTAAAGGGAAAAAACGACACATCATTTTGTTATAATTTTATACTTTATAGTGGAAGATAAACCCTCAATGGCCGGAGCTGGAGTGTTATTCACACAGCAATAAATAACTATTCTTTTGTGGAAACTAAATGCTTGAATTTTTTATTTCCAAAATAGAACTCGTATTATGATTTGAGTCAACGTTTTCAGTGAATACGTTAAGTTTAATTTCGGTATTTGTATATTCATACGTAAAACAGTCTACTATTTTAGTCAAACCTCAGATTACAAAAAATAATTTTAACATATACAGTAGACATTTTTGATCAGGGTACAGCGGCAAACTGACTATAGCGATCGCCACCTGTCACACGTGTTCGGTAATCTGCCCCCCGGGCACCCCTAGTCCACCCAGCTGCGTATCGGTACCTGACTTTACAGTTAAGGAAGTAAAGGCAGTTGAGTACAGTGCCTCCATTTTCTTTTTCGGAATGGTGCATAGCCTCGGTAAATATAGCTTGGCATCACTGTAAACACACTCTGACAACATTGTAAACACTGGCAAATACTGCCTAATATTAGTGTAAAAATAAGCTAACAACGGTGTAAACACTAGGCAGCTCCATAGTAAACAGAGGCTAGCTACAGTGTGAATATTACCTAGCTCCACTGTAAACACAGCCTAGCAACACTGTAAACATTATCTAACAACAGCGCAAGCAGGGCGGCCACCCAACAATGTTAAAAATATCTATGAGTTTGTGTTTGTGTGTGTGTGTGTGTGTGTTTCTGTACATGCAGATGTAAATAAACAGTCACCATACATCTATATCATGATAACAACAAGTGCCAAACAGGTTTTTCCTACCAAGTACGTCTGCCAATAAGTATCACACAACTAATAATTAATTACATATAAGAGTAAATCATCCCAGATAAAAATACTTGACAAGATCTAAAATATGGTTTTTTTTCTTCTAAACTATTCAGTAGTTGTACAGTGTTTCAGGAATTATGCTCATTGAACTGTTTAGTGTCAGTCTCTCATAATGCCTGACAATGAATAAGTTTTAAATAACACGACCAATAGCCTGAGTCTCTTTTTCTCTCCTCCGTGTCCTAGAATATTGCTCCTGAACGTCAACAATCACCTAAGTTCTTAAAAAATTAAAAAAAAACAATAACAAATAAGAAGATTCAAAGGTTAATATGAGTAAATTTTTAAACCACAGGAATAACTTGTGTCTGTGTTTGGTGTTGTGATCTACATTTAAAGTAAGATAATACTGTATAACATCCCTGCAAGATGAGGTGGGAAAGTTAGGTTACGTAAATTATCAGATAAAGTTGAAGCTTCCGTCAACAGTGAGCCCCTCAAGGGATTCACCATTACCAAGTATGTCCACAATTAAGCTTTTCATACACTTAACGACCATACACCAAGCTGAGACAGAACAACATCTCACTGTGCATGATAGACATATGGAACACCTTGACCCAGGTAATGGCCACTTCCCCCAAAAAGGTTGACCTATGAGAGATGACTGGAAAAACACTTGGTAGAACAAGACGTCTGGTACCGAAACCTAACTAGCTACCTTTAGTACGCGTCTTAGAAACTGATGGTGATTTTTATGTAGAAGCCTAAATCCTTCGACCTCAATAAGCGTGAGCTAAGGGGTCATCTAAGGGTCGACTTATGCCGTTAGAGCAGAAGAAGGAGTCATTCTATCAAGGAAAATCTCGTCGTAGAGTGAAGAGTACGGTGAAGGCTGACTGTTTGATCAAGCCTCGACTTTGACATTTGTTCAGCATTAATATTGTATCAGCACACCTTAGCACCTTCTACCAGTACCACACACACACGCGCGCGCGCACACACACGCATTGAGGTCATATATGTACGTTTCCTTTTAAGAGCAGGGTACTCTCTCTCTCTCTCTCTCTCTCTCTCTCTCTCTCTCTCTCTCTCTCTCTCTCTCTCTCTCTCTCTCTCTCTCTCTCTCTCTCTCTCTCTCTCTCTCTCTCTCTCTCTCTCTCTCTCTCTCTCTCTCTCTCTCTCTCTCTCTCTCTCTCTCCATTAAGACTGGGCCCCAACCTTTCATAGGTCTTAATCATTATGGTCAAAACCTCTTAGTGCGGCACATTTGATTTGATTTGATTAGTAAAGATTCATACAGTACAAACAAACATATATAGCCATTAAAAACGATATATATAAAAGTATTGTCTATATATAATACTAAATGGACATATCTGTTTGTGTGTTCCAGCCGTAGCTCCAAGACAGAAGCAGTAAGAGACGTGAAACTTTACACACATATCACATGGGAGCCAAGGTTGTGCACCTTGGTATTACTATTGACCACGGACCCCCGGCTGGTCCAGGCAAGAACCAAAAATCTTCCCCGACTGAGATATGACCACGGCGACTGTGGGAGTTGGTGACCCGTGACAGTGAGGACAAACTGAGGCAGTCAAGGTTATACTGTATATACCTAACCCAAGAAGAACCTACATGGCCACCAGGATGTTTCCAGCTCACAACTCGACCTCAGTTAGGAGTCTGGCGACCAGTTTCTGCCCAGCGTCTCTGTATCGCCCCAAAATTTCCTCTGAACGTCTTCCCTGAGAAATTTTCCAGTAAAAATCGGCCGACGGTGGTGATAACAGGAAGGCTTGTCGGACCCCTCAGCCAGAGTGTTCCCAGCCATGGTAAACATCTCTCAATTGCTGTTTGTCAGCAATTTTGTCAAAGGAAGAAAAGGACCACCATTTGCAATTGGTAGGTCGTGCTTGTGAGAGTTTTGCAAGAAAGCATAAAATATTGAAAAAATATAGATAGGGGAACAGTTTAGAGACTGTGTGCTTATATATATATATATATATATATATATATATATATATATATATATATATATATATATATATATATATATATATATATATATATATATATATATATACACTCGCATTGCTGATATCATGTTACCTGACTCTCACCTGTGCCTCTGCCTGAATCATACTTCTTCTGACTGATTAATCTGTGCTTCTGACTGACTTTCACCTGTGCTTCTCCCTGACTCTCACCTGTTCCCTTGACTAACTCACCTGTGCCTCTGACCACGTCTGGGTTGCCAGACTTGGCCAGCGTGTGGGTGTCCTCGCTACTCCCGCCACCCACGTATACACTAGTGAGTGTGGGCGGCGACTCATTCTTAGGTTGATGGTTTTGGGGTCGGGTACGGTGGGCGTAGTGGGTGAGGACCAACCCTGCCACAACCAGCACCAGCACGGCGCCTACACCACCCACCACGGCGCCCACGACAGGAGGTACGAACATCTCTTCTGGGGGACCTGAGAGAAAGAGATGGTGACAAGCTAGTGGAATAAAAACTGTCGCTGCAACGCCTAGAGATAACGCTTTAGTCTCACACACTGCGAGATGGCTCCCTTAATTTGCATTCTGCTGAAATGTTGAAACTGAAATAGCCCCTTTAAGTTTTAAACTGACATACTTGGGGAAACTTTTTATGTAAAACTTCGGGGGAAACATTTTCATTACGATGTGGAGGAAACCATTTCACTTTCATAGTTTAGGTTGTTTTAAATAAACACTCTGGAGAAGTATTTTCAGCTTAATATTCTGGAACTGACAAACAAGGGGAGTGTATTGATGTGTCTCAGAATCATCACACTCAGTACACCAACACCCTGCATAACGCTGGAGGAACCAATGTACTCACGTATCCGCTTCTCCGCCACTTTCATGATGTCAGCTTCGAGGGTGACGGAGGCGCTCTGGCCGCGGGTGTTGGTCGCTCGAACCTTGAGGGTGACTCCCATACCCGCTTCTAAACCCCGAACTACGAACTCCGGCGCCAGGCTGCAGGAGGAGAGAGAGAGAGCAGTCACAGCATCAATAAACTACCACCTGTGTTAGTTCATATGGGGGAAAGAGAGAGAGAGAGAAGGAGGGAGGGAGGGACGGAGGAAGAGAGGAAAGGAGGGAAGGAGGGATGGAGAAAAGAAAGAAGAGAGGGAAGGAGGGGAGGTATGGAAGAGAAGGAAGGAGGAGAGGGGTGGAAGAGAAGGAAAAAGGGGAAGGATGGATGAGAAGGAAGGAAAAGGGAATGAGAGTGAGAGGAAGATGCATTTAATCAGTCACAATATTATTTGATAATAAACAATAATAATGGAAGGAAGTGAATATTTATGGTGTACCAAATTATAACACTGTACGATATTTTTGTTGTCGTCTTCTTTACTTCATTTATGTTCGTCGTTTCAACAAAGGGTCGAAGTTTAGAAAGGTTTTGCGGTCACGACTTTACAGAAATGCGTCAGGCCACTTGTATTAAACCTCAACGCGTGGGTAAATTCTTGCCTCAGTTGAAAGAAGGAAGACATATTATTTTATTCTTTTCTTTCTTTCTTTCTTTCTTTCTTTTTTTCTTTCTATTTTCTTGTTCTTATTCTTGTTGTTGTTGTTGGTCTTCTTATACTTTATTATTATTATTATTATTATTATTATTATTATTATTATTATTATTATTATTATTATTATTATTATTATTATTATTATTATTATTATTATTATTAATTTTAGTCTATGGTGAATGTTATTGAGATTAATTACCATAATAGCCAAAACAGGTCCGTGGGTCAAAGATCAAGGCTAAAGTAGGTCAAAGGTTACCTCTTTCTTAACGTCACTCCTGCAATGCACCAAATACTCTGATTGAAACGATGCATGAATATAAATAAATCATCACCAGTCACAGTGCATGATACCTTACTCACAGCTCCTTGTCAATAACTCAGTAGGTCAGAAAAGGGTCAGAGGTCAACGTAGTATCCGAATCAGGTAAAATTTGGGACCTAATTTTCGGGTGAATTTTCGATATTTTTTTTCTTCCCATTTTAGCCTGTCTGTCTGTCTGTCTGTCTGTTTGTGTCTGTCTCTCTGTATCTGTCTGTCTGTCTGTCAAGTCCGCAGAAGAGTCTGAAGTCAAATTCTCATCACCACAGCAAGATGTATTCAAGATTTAACACCCGACCTGCGTAACCTGTCCTGACCCACTGAATACAGGCTACAGATACAGGCTAATGATACAGGCTAATGATACAGGCTATTGATACAGACTAATGATAAAGACTATAATATATTGTATGTATCGTCCTTAAAAGCCCCAGACAGAGAGAGAGAGAGAGTGAGAGAGAGAGAGTAAATACTAAGATAGACTAAATATGAATGAGTGACAGATAGATTGATAGTAAAATAGATATATAGACAGACATATAGAAGGTATTTATAAAAGAACATCAGAGAAATAGATCGATATACAGACAGGCAGACAGATAGATAGACAGACAGACAGACAGACAGACAGTGTATTAAAGCTCTCCTGGATTTATTAATGTAAGACTGACAGAATAGCTCAGAGAGTGTTGTTGCTCCTTGAGTTGTAGTGAAGGTTTAAGTTATTCAAATTGTGTGTGTGTGTGTGTGTGTGTGTGTGTGTGTGTGTGTGTGTGTGTGTGTGTGTGTGTGTGTGTGTGTGTGTGTGTGTGTGATGGACATATATGTACACCATCCATGACGTTATTTATTACTTCCTGAGAACATTCCACATATCTCGTGTCTACACCTCCCTAAGCATTGATGTGAGGAAAAATGTATACTACACTACACTGGTTTACTGTACACTAGATCAAGTGTAGAGGAAGAAGTATACTAGACTACACTACAGTAGTTTACTCTTCCCTAGTACACATGCACTCAAACTCAACTTACTATACCTAACCTAACCATTACTAGCAACAGAATATGCTATTTGATGATGAATTCCTATTAACAAACTAGAGAGGACAGATCAATGTTTTTACCCCATCCTAGGAAATATTAGTGGATCGATTTTCACTTTACTATTTCTATCTGTGGAATGTTACTCTAATTTGCGCTAGTGAGGTGAGGTTAGGTTAGGTTAGGTTAGGTTAACTTTAAATAAGACACTGTTTAAACTCCAGTAAATATGTCATAGAGGGAGTGAGTCACAAGAGGCATCATGAATACACAATTTCTCGAGTTGGAAAATTAAAACGGGAGGCAATTTAGAGCGAGGTTGAGGCAGCAGTTTCAACACGAGTGGAGAGAGAGAGTGTGTGTGTGTGTTCTACCATTCGGGAAACACCTCACTAAATACCTGGTTGACCCCTCTATCTCTTACCTATAGTCCACGCAGGTGTTAGATAATTTATTTGGCATAGACGAAAATAAATAAATAATGACAAATTAAGTAACACACAAATAGCGACTCTTTAACAGGGAAATTAAAATATATATCGAAAAATTAATAGTCAAGGAACAACATAAACAATATTAAAAAAACAAAAGAGTTATGAGTTGCGTCAGGGAAGGCTTGTACACCGTCACAATTTATGGTCTAGCCAACACAACAACAGCACACAAGATTGAGAGATCGTACTACCAAAATATTCTACTGGTTAATGAATGCAATTTCTTGGTTGAATATATAGTTGTAATTCAACCAAACTGAGTACAGAAGATGAGGAATCGTATCTTTAATTACAAATGATGAAATTTATCGATATTAGTGATCAGGTAATTGATATAAGGGAGAGATATCACCTTAATAAGTAGAGACAAACGATAACACTTGATTTTATAACCTTGATAACTGGAGATAAAAGTTATCAGTTGATTTCATTGGCTGGAGATAATGAAGATAACATTTTAAAGAGAGATGGTGAGATGGTCGCGTCGAGGAGTGTAGGTGAGAGAGTTTGCCGGACTGCCACCAACAGGTAGCCTCAGGTAAGGAACCACCTCATTACCGCCCCTTCCTCCTCCAGGTACCTGAGTGTGGATCTCTCTTCAGGTATATTTGTAACCTGTTTTACCTGCCTGTGACCACTACCACTATCCATCAACACCACCACTAACACCTACCATTACCACTACCACTACCAGATCACAACCACCACCAGCCCCACCACTAGGTCCGGCCGCTACCATCTGCAGTGTGGTGCCTCTTGAGTGTCAAGTTGATCCTCAGTCACTAATTCCACCTTCACCTCGACCAGCTGCACCTAAATGCCCCCAACGAAGACCATCACGACCAGCTGCTCCCACCCCCCCCCCCAGACGCGGCCACTCTTATCAGCTGCAGTTTTATCGTTCTGTCTCTTCTTTTTTTTTCTATTTTATCTTGAAGTTAATTTTTTTTCTTTTGTCTTTCCCAGCTGTTGTGGTTTTATTTTAGCTGTGGTTAGTCCTGACAGCTAACATATCTTTGCTCTTTGGGTCTGTTTAGAATAGGTGTCACAGCTATATATAGTATTATTAGGTGTGGTCCTTATCACCAGCTGTGGCCATAGTCACTAATTATGGCCACTCATCAGGTGTGGTCCTTATCACCAGCTGTGGCCATAGTCATTAATTATGGCCACTCATCAGGTGTGGTCCTTATCACCAGCTGTGGCCATAGTCACTAATTATGGCCACTCATCAACCGTGGCCCTTAGTATCAATGAAGCCACTCTTAACAGCTGCGGTTATTATCACCAAATATGACCATTATCGCCTGCTATGGCCACTAGCACCAGCTCTGGCCATTATCACCAGCTGTAGGCAATTCCAGCGGTAATGACTAGTAATGGTCACAGGTACATTTTGCTACGCGGCTGCTGACCTACATGTTTGTATTCCCGGATGTGTTGCGAATTAATGTGATATATATTCATTGAATTATCCATTGTAATTACTTTTTACTGTTATTTAATCCCGCGGTGAATACTTTTTTTTTGTAGCGTAATGGATCTGTTATTATGAACCAGTTCCCTCTGATATATTTTATGAGTGATTGTATATAGTAAATATAATACCGTCATGACCTAATGTGATAATTTCAAGGTTTGTTTTACAGTTCATGATGGAGTAAACAGGGGGAACTGAGGACTTACCTGGAGGTGTTGGAGAGGAGGGCTTCTTCGTCCCACGCCTCCATGACGAAGTGTTGGGGAAGTCCTCCGTCAAACCCCGGCGAGCACTCCACCACTAGTGCCTCGCTCGTCTGGTTGGCTATAGAGCAGTTCCTAGGAGGGTCCGGGGGTCCTGCCGAGACAGAGACACACACACACACAAATACGGTTGTGGTTAGTGTTCGCTTTTGGCTCTCTCTCTCTCTCTCTCTCTCTCTCTCTCTCTCTCTCTCTCTCAATACAGTGTGTGTGATATATGAGCCAACATATACAGCCCTCAACATATCATGCTGCATATGTTAAGCTTCAGAGGGCGTTATATATATCACACACGTCACGGTACCTAAGTTATTTCATATCAAGAATATTACGAGTATTACTTTAATGTATATGTCAGACTAAAAGAAATACGCTGTCACACCACAAGGGAAATGTCACAACTAACAAATATACAGTATGTCACGCCACAGTGCATATATTGTCTTACAACACCTATTACATTATAATATATATATATTGAGAAATATGTGCCACTCCACGCCATCTGTATGATGTTACAATATATGTTTTACGGTACACCATCTCTACCAAATCATAACATATGTGTCACACTATTTTTGTTTTATGTCATATATATGTCAAACTAAACATGTGCCACACAAGAACGAGTGTATCACATCACAACTCGTGTCCATCATGTATAATTATATCACAACATACTTATCACACAAACACATAATTATGTATCCCACCACAACATCCGTGTCACACCATAATATGTGTCAATCAATGTATGCCATTCGTCACGATGACACATGTTTATCACCCCACCAAACACATGTATGGATCACAACACATAATTCAATATCTGGCAACAGCTGATAACATAGTAAACACCCCAAAAATACTCCCCCCCACCTCGTTATCCTCTCCCCACTAACTTTCTCTTCTCTCCCCACTTACTTTCTCTTCTCTCCTCACTTACTTTCTCTTCTCTCCCCACTAACTTTCTCTTCTCTCCCCACTTACTTTCTCTTCTATCCCCACTTACTTTCTCTTCTCTCCCCACTAACTTTCTCTTCTCTCCCCACTAACTTTCTCTTCTCTCCCCACTAACTTTCTCTTCTCTCCCCACTTACTACTCTCATTCTCTCAACCTAACCTAACCTAACCAACCGCTTCTGCCTCTCCTATATCCGTTTACAATTCCACAAACAAACTTACCCCCAAAAATACCGAAAAAAACCCGGTATTTTGAGCCGGGACGTAACACTAAATGTAGACTCGTAACTGTTTGACGACTCCACTATATAATTGAATCCTAAACTTCAGTTGAACATTGTAGTTTGGAGTTCACTGAAAAGGAAAAGACCTTGTTTTGATTGAGAGGTGTGTGTGTGTGTGTGTGTGTGTGTGTGTGTGTGTGTGTGTGTGTGTGTGTGTGTGTGTGTGATGAAAATTTATCTTTCGTCTAACTTCTTCTATGCGTTTATCATCTATGTTGTGAAATGTTACTTTCTTGTCTCTATATTTCCTTTATTTGTCCTTCTTTCTCCTTCCCTATTTCATTCATATTCTCTTCTCCTTTCTTTCGCACTTACTCTGTCCTTCATCCTTCCCTCTTATCATCTTCTCTGTCCATTTCTCTTCCTATCACTCTCCAGTGTCCTTCAACCTATTCCCTCCCTTCAACCTCTCCTCTCTCCCACCCTTCCCTCAACCCCCCTTCTTCTCTCTCTCTCCCCTTTCCTCTCCCAAACCCCTTCCCCTCTCCCTCTCCTCCTCTGCCCCCTCCCTCTCCTCTATCCTGTTGGTCACCCCCTTCCCCCTCTCTCCCTCTCTTGAACCCCCTCCCCTCTCTATCCCCTTACTTCCCCTCTCCTCAAGCTCTCCCCAACCTTCCCTTTAAGTCCCCTTCCCTCTCTCCCTTCCCTTAACACCCCACCTCTCTTCTCATCAAACCCATTTATCCTCCTCCCCTCTCCCTCTCACCCATTAAACCCCCTCACTTTCATCTCCCCTCCCCCATCCCTCTCTCTCCCCTCACTTCCCAGGTACGAAAAGGGGAAAGGTGAGTACCGTAGATCTGACCTGCAGGGATAAGGTGGATTACACAGGGCTCCTTCTGGATTCCTATCTTGTTGGAGGCCCAGCAGAGGAGAGTGCCGTAGTCCTGTTCAATGGAGGCGGTGTAGTTAAGCATGGAAGACGTCCCCTGGTTTCTAATGGCCAGAAGAGGTAACGCCTCGCCTTCAGAAGACCCGTTGAAGCGCCATGTGAAGTTAACCTGAAGGAGACGCAGAAGAAGGATACTATAGAGAGATGGGGGAATGAGAATAGTGTAGCAACTGTGTGTGTGTGTGTGTGTGTGCGTGTGTGTGTGTGTGTGTGTGTGTGTGTGTGTGTGTGTTGCACTTAACAGATGTAAACAACAAAGAAAATTTTATAATATCACAAAACATGCAAGTAATGTACCCATTTGTATCGGTAACAAGAGCCGTAATTAACATTAACTAGATACAAGAAAAAATAGGAAAGTGAAATTATCTAGACAACAAAAATATCGATAATTGACTAATACCACACGCGTAATTATTCGTCGACAAACTACCAATACCGTATAGCATAAATTTCAACATATAGAATATTTGTTTCATTTCTAGATGACTAATTGACGTCTCATATGTGATATTTCTTTCTTAATATCTCTGGTACTATTTCATAATTAACAGACGGGACAAAATAAAAGAGACGAAACAGAGTGAAATAATTAACGATGACAAGTGAAATATGTCAGTGAAAAAAAAAAAAATTAAATCTCATTACTAGATTCAGACAAAGTGACAGTGATTGTTTACGAGTTCAAGGCTTGGATTCTCGAGTCGATAATAAATTTGAATACTTTATAACCTTAACAGACTTACCTGTGTATCTCCTAAATTGTTTAATATGATCAGGTTTATTTTCTCCTCGCATTGATAATTTCACCTTTAACTTACTTTATGATCACCTGAAGATTAGACACACCCACCTTTATTTCACCCACCTGAGGTTTACCACCCTAACGCTACTTGGGATTAGGTCAGGTTTGATTTGAGTTAGGTTAGGTTAGGTTAGGTTAGGTTAGGTTAGGTTAGGTTAGGTTAGGTTAGTGTTAGGGTGTTTAATAATCACTGGGGTGTCTAATCTTAAGGTGATCCCTAATAAAGATGATTTCCACCTTTGGTTCGAGTTACCTGTGAAATACGTTCTTTGAAGACCGAGTGCTGATAAATATTAGTGTATAGAGACAGGTTGTGGGGGGCAGTGGTCGCCTTGAGAGCTGGTAAGTGGGAGAGGGGGTGGGGGCTTGTGTCTAGACCCTTGCCCGTCTCCACTAGAGTAAAATAAGTCTCGGGGCTGAGTCTGTGCTGTTGTTTGTGGGATTATTTAGATCAAGAACAGCATAACTAACTTACCTGGACGCTGTTTTCTCTGTCAAACATTAATATATAGAATACTCTAGAAATATGTCCCTGCCTGCCTCCCTCCCTGGTCCTTCCCTCCTCTCCCCCTCCCTCCCTCCCTGCCTCTCTCCCTCCCTCCCTGCCTCCCTCCCTGCCTCTCTCCCTCCCTCCCTCCCTGCCTGCCTCTCTCCCTCCCTACCTGCCTCCCTCCCTGTCTCTCTCCGTCCCTCCAACTCACAGTGTCTCAGGGAGCAGGCAGGGAGAGAGGCAGGCAGCAGGAAGAGAGGGAGGGAAGGAGGTAGGGACATTTTACAAGGACATCCTATATTTTCATCAACTTAATTCCTCAAAGTCTTTCCTACCGTCGTCATCCACATTAAAACCCCCCAAAAAACATTAGAATTAAAAAAAAATAAATGAACAAATTCAACACATGAGAGACGCACGCCAATATCTTCCAGTTCAAAGACGTAATGCAACTCCATTCAGACAATTCTATTTCATCTGGAGAAAATAAAACACAAATTATTAAACAAAGAATCCTTCAGTTATATTAAACCACAAGAGATCAACGGAGGATTTTCTACTGATGCATGATAATTATTTTGATGACAACTCATTCTCTCTCTCTCTCTCTTCATATTTTTTTTCACATATTTTTTTCTTATTTTCTCCTTTTTCTTCATTATCGTCTTCTCTTTAATTATTCCGAGAGACTTGAACACACTTCACTTGGAAAAGAAAACAAAAATCTTACCTGAAGGGGGAATGCCTCCACCTGGCACACCACCTTGGCACTCTCCATTCTGGCCACGCCCTGAGTCCTTCTGCCTGGGGAGCTGCACACGGGCGCGACTGTCGGGGGGTGGGGGGGAGAGAAGGATGTTAGTATCAAAAACACATCAGAATTACATTACCGTCGTGTTCCCTTAACTTGTGTATCACCGTCAGGTAGGTCCTCCCTTAACTTGTGTATCACCGTCAGGTAGGTCCTCCCTTAACTTGTGTATCACCGTCAGGTAGGTCCTCCCTTAACCCTGACTTGTGTATCACCGTCAGGTAGGTCCTCCCTTAGCCCTAACTTGTGTAACCCTGACTTGTGTATCACCGTCAGGTAGGTCCTCCCTTAACCCTGACTTGTGTATCACCGTCAGGTAGGTCCTCCCTTAACCCTAACTTGTGTATCACCGTCAGGTAGGTCCTCCCTTAACCCTAACTTGTGTATCACCGTCAGGTAGGTCCTCCCTTAACCCTGACGTGTGTATCACCGTCAGGTAGGTCCTCCCTTAACCCTAACTTGTGTATCACCGTCAGGTAGGTCCTCCCTTAACCCTGACTTATGTATCATCACCCCTACAGCTTCTTCATGACTCCTATATCAGTATAGAGAAGTTTCGTGTCATCCTCATGTGAAACTCAGTATACCTTCACGTCAACTAATGTGAAGCTCAGTATACCTTCACGTCAGCTAATGTGAAGCTCAATATAGTTTCACGTCAACTAATGTGAAGCTCATTATAGCTTCACATACAACTAATGTAAGGCTCAGTGAAGCTTCATGTCAACCCCATATAAAATTGTGAATTCCTCTCCTCACATTCCAAGAAATGATCAATAGGCCACAAAGGTGAGCAATATATCAGACTTATGTACAGTACGGGGCTGATGGTGTCTCGCCCAGTCCATGCTGAGACGGTAGTGATAGCTTAAGCATTATTACCATTGCTATTGTCATTGTTTCTACTACTAGTTAGGATAGTGTTACGCTAGTGTAGAATCTAAGCTAGTTAATGTTAAGTTAGTTTTAGGTTGAGTGTTCGGTTAAGTTAGGTTGGATAGGTTTCAGTATATTAGGTCAGCTTAGGTTTAGTTAGGTTATGTTAGTGTTAGTTTAGGTCAGGTTAGCCTAGGTTACATTTGGTTAGATTACTGTTAGTGTATGTTAGGTAGTTTTAGGTTAGGTTATATTAAATTAGGTTAGGTTAGGGTTTGACAATGCAATTTTCTTCTTACGACACAAAGTTTTCTTCTTAATACAAAACAAGAAAAGAAAAAATTAAACTCGATCGCGACTACACGGTCTGGGATTGACTTAGACTCATTAGGTTAAATTTACCTTTAACCAGCTAAACTAACACACGTATTTACCTTCGTTAATACTACTACATTCAAAATTAACCAAGAAGAAGTGGTGGTGAGTGGGTGATGGGTGAGTGGTGGTGAGTGGGTGATGGGTGAGTGGTGGTGAGTGGGTGATGAGTGGTGGTGAGTGGGTGATGAGTGAAGAGTGGTGGGTGATGGGTGAGGAGTGGTGGGTGATGGGTGAGGAGTGGTGGTGACAAAACAAGAAAAGAAAAAATTAAACTCGATCGCGACTACACGGTCTGGGATTGACTTAGACTCATTAGGTTAAATTTACCTTTAACCAGCTAAACTAACACACGTATTTACCTTCGTTAATACTACTACATTCAAAATTGAAGTGGTGGTGAGTGGGTGATGGGTGAGGAGTGGGTGATGGGTGAGTGGGTGATGGGTGAGAGTGGTGGTGAGGGGTGAGTGGGTGAGGAGTGGTGGTGCGGGTGTGGGGTGAGGAGTGGGTGAGGGAGGGGTGAGGGGGAGGGGTGATGGTGGGGAGTGGTGGTGGGAGATGGTGATGAGGGTGGTGGTGGTGAGGGTGAGGTGGGTGAGTGAGTGGTGGTGAGGGGGTGATGAGGAGTGGTGGTGAGTGGGTGATGGGAGAGGGTGATGAGTGATGTGGGGTGGATGGGTGAGGGGGTAGTGGTGGGTGATGGGTGAGGATGGGTGATGAGGGTGATGGGTGAGTGGTGGTGAGGGGTGATGAGGGTGGTGAGGGGTGGATGTGGGTGAGTGGTGGTGGTGGGGTGATGGTGAGGGTGGTGGGTGATGAGGTGAAGAGTGGTGGTGGGTGATGGGTGAGAGGGTGATGGGTGAGGAGGGTGGTGGGGGGGAGGGTGAGGAGTGGTGGTGTTAGGGGTGAGTGGTGGTGAGTGGGTGATGGGTACTGTGATTACTGGCGATCGAGAGAGTGAGTAGTAGTGGTACACACACACACACACACACACACTTACACATGACGTTGAGAGTGATGGCGTTGCTGAGACCTTGCCCTTCCAGGTTCTGGGCGGCACATGTGTACACGCCCGCACGCCCTCGCTGTACCTTCTGCAGCACCAAACTCTCGTCTGAGATGAAGAGTCCAGCGCTCTTGTTGGTCTCCAGGAGGTTACCCTGTTGGAGGAGAGAGATAATATTACTGTGTGTCTCGCTGGGAAGTTAATGCCAGGGTTAGTGTAGATGTATAGTGTCTCTACCTGGGAGAGATAGTGTCACATTCAACTGTGGTGTTTAATGTGACACCCTGGGAGAGATAGTGTCACATTCAACTGTGGTGTTTAATGTGACACCCTGGGAGAGATAGTGTCACATTCAACTGTGGTGTTCAATGTGACACCCTGGGAGAGATAGTGTCACATTCAACTGTGGTGTTCAATGTGACACCCTGATGGAACAAAGTGTCATCAGCTGGGCCATAGTACCAAATCAACAAAAATATAAAACGAAAAAGAAATCAATATCGAGGGAAAAAAATAGCACTACAGATCACTAGCTTTACAGTTCCTAGTAATCTAAGTTCCTAGCTTATGCACTAGTTGAGACACGATGCATAAAACAAGGGGAAGGAGGGAACAGTATGTGGTGGACGAGGTTGGGTGAGTTAGTGTGTGTTGAAACTTAAGACACACTGCCAGACACTCCGGAAATCGTGGTTAACATATGTGTGTGCTGGAAACGAGTAGGTGGTCCGTACCGTATATCAATAGCCAAAGAAATGATTTAAAACTAGAATACTTCACCTATGAATAATATTTTAGGTGTCGAGTAAGATTCCTGAAAGGTAGATTGAACGTCTGTCTGTCTGTCTATGTCTGTCTGTCTGTCTAACTGTCTGTCTGTCACGTCTTGAAATTATGTCGCCAAATGTTAGAGGTCGGGTGATTGTTTGGCGTTACTGGCCTGTGTGTTCATGTTCTTATGTGTGATTTATTAACGTGATGACAGGGTGGTAGATGTTTGTTTTGAGGCAGGCAAAGAAAATTGAGGTAAGCCTGCACACGATTACTTACAGACGCATAACAAACACACATAACGAGAATACACACACACACACACACACACACACACACACACACACACACACACACACACACACACACATAGAAGACTAAAGATTCAATATAAGAGTAAATATTATTTTTTTCGTGTGTGTGTGTGTGTTGCAAAAATATCAATCACACCCAATAGACTAATTAATGACTCTCTCCAGGTAAAACACACACTCCACTACGTCACACTCATACTTGACACGGACTTAACAGCAAACTCAAGCAACCAGCCAGCCTCCTAGCCTCCCAGCCTCCAGCCGTCCATCACACTGTACCAACACTATATCTTATGATGGAGGTGTCACTCTCCCGGCTACCATCGACAACCCCCCCAATAACTCACTGATTTTTAATAACCTTCCCTGCAGCTGTGTGACCGTGACGAGGCGTTGGCAGGAAGCGGGAAGGCATTAATGATGAGATATTGCGGGCTTTCAGAGAGGCAATTTGTGACCACTAACATCAGGGTAACGGCAGCTAGAAAATATAGCCAGTGAAGTAATACCGACCGTTTGTAATGCTTTGTTGGGAAGGTGGGTGGGGGGGTCTGTGTTAAATCTGGTGGTGATGGTTGTGTGTGTGGTGGTGATGTGTGTGTGTGTGGTGGATGGGTGTGGTGTGGTGGTGATGGTGTGTGGTGGTGATGGGTGTGTGGTGGTGGGTGTGGTGTGGTGGATGGGTGGTGTGGTGGTGATGGGTGAAGGTGTGTGGTAATGATGGGTGAAGGTGTGTGGTGGTGAGGGATGTTGATTGCCAAGGCCGAGCTGTTCATTACTGGCACCCTGATGACGAATCATGTATTGGTGACTTAATATGTACTGTACTTAGCACACTCAGAGTCTAATTCATCGTCATCGTCCTTCTCTTCCTCCCTCCTTTCCTCCTCCTCCTCCTAACATGCAACATTGATCCTTTACAAGCAATTAACTCACTGTATTAACGAGAAACATTTAATAGTTTAATCACGCGAAGTTTTCTACCGGCGTTGTGTGTGTGTGTGTGTGTGTGTAAAACAGTTTATGGGAAATGGTTGTGTGGTGGTTAGAGAGAGAGAGAGAGAGAGAGAGAGAGAGAGAGAGAGAGTACTGACATGGTGAATATGGGTCAACGGGGGTGGCGGGAGGGAGTCAGGGGACATGGGGTGTAAGGAGGGGGAATCAGTGTGCGTGGGCGTGGATGAAATACTCACGTTATGGTACCAGGTGACGCGGTGGGCCTTTGGGTTGGCGTGTATGGTGCAGTCGAAGTAAACATCGTCACCTTCCTTTATGGCATCAGGGTTCAGTGCCGCCCCCAGAGCCAGCTCCACCTCCGGCTTGTCTGAGGGAGGAGAAGGAGAAGGGGGATAACCATCTGTTAGTGGACACAGCTGGTGAGAGAGAGAACCATCTGTTAGTTGGTACAGCTGGTGAGGGAACCATCTGTTAGTGGACACAGCTGGTGAGAGAGAGAACCATCTGTTAGTTGGTACAGTTGGTGAGGGAACCATCTGTTGGTTGGTACAGCTGGTGAGAGGGAACCATCTGTTAGTTGGACAGCTGGTGAGAGAGAGAACCATCTGTTAGTTGGTACAGCTGGTGAGGGAACCATCTGTTGGTTGGTACAGCTGGTGAGAGAGAGAACCATCTGTTAGTTGGTACAGCTAGTGAGGGAACCATCTGTTAGTGGACACAGCTGGTGAGAGAGAGAACCATCTGTTAGTTGGTACAGCTGGTGAGGGAACCATCTGTTAGTGGACACAGCTGGTGAGAGAGAGAACCATCTGTTAGTTGGTACAGTTGGTGAGGGAACCATCTGTTGGTTGGTACAGCTGGTGAGAGAGAGAACCATCTGTTAGTTGTTACAGCTGGTGAGGGAACCATCTCTAACGGAACACAGCTGGAACGAGAGAGCCATCTGTTACTAGACACAACCCCTCATCTCTCAACACACACACACACACACACACACACACACACACACACACACACCTCCATTACATCCATCACCAAGCATTAACACCCTCTAATGCTTTTACCCAATCCAGTGATTATCTGGTCATGCATTCGAGTATTAATCTTGACTTGATTCCCAATTCCGTGGACTGGATTAAACTTGCCATCAAACAGCACAGGGATAAAACAGATGGTAGTATATTTTTAGTGCAACGAAGTGGGATTTTTTTAATTTTTTTTTTATTTATTTTTTTATTTTTTTTATTATTATTTTTTTTTTAGGTATTTTTAGGTTAGGTTAGGTTAGGTTAGGTTAGGTTTCTCAAGGAGGCAGGTAAGATGGGGATATACGTTAAGGGAGCATTACACGTATTACACCTTCTTAACTACGAGTTTTTTAATCATCTTTTACGAATTGTTAATAGTGAGGAGCCTACAACTCTTTTACTGTCTAATACTCTGTTAAGACTCTGTTAAGACTCATCATGGAAACAATGTAATAATAAAACACGTCGTTATTTAGACTCTCGGGGTAATGGGAACGTCATAACATCGATCCTCCCCCCCCCCCGCCCCCCATCCTCCTCCAGAAGACTCGAAGGAGGATAGTCATTTACCATATACAAAACGAGTTAGTTTCATCCTTAACGAGTACATGGGAGATGTGACCCCACACACGAGACGTAATCACTCGTTAACATTGAAAACGAAAATTGTACCAAAAAAAAAATGTACAGTCATCCCTTGGTTATCACGCCTAATTGGGACCGCGCAGAGTGCGTGATAACGAAAACCGCGATAACGAAAGTACAGAACCTATGGGATTAATTCTAATTGGTTCCAGGCACCCAAGACCCAACCCCAATTTTCCCATTTTACGACCATTTAGACCAGGGGTGTCAAACTCATGGCCCGTGGTCCTTGGGATGGTCAGGTGTGGCCCGCGGGATGACGGTAAAATTTATCATCCCGTGAAATTATGAAACAAATAGATATAATCATGTTTATTTATTAAAATGAATTTGACATACTTAAGATCAGACGAACCCAAATGAGGTATTCCTGGTAAGCTGTAAACTTCAATCCTACAAATATGTGATATAGCACTTGTGTTGGCCCTGAAGAGGGTAACTAAAATAAGAATTGGGCCTCGAAAGGTATTGAGTTTGACACCACTGATTTAGACCCACTAAATATATAGATAATTATGCTAAACATGTAGCTATGCTTTCTTTATTTGAGTCCCCCGTCTAAAGAGTCAGTTTTCTCATTGCTTCAGGACGCTGAGTCCTCCGTTTTCTTTCAAACTTAGGGTGCACCAGAGACTTCGTTATTCCTTAATAATGACACTGAATTTGAAATTGCAACTGAGGTTGCAATTGTTGAGGCAACTTAGATATGTCTGATTACAGCAAATGTGTTATTGTCAATTTGTAGGTGAAAGATTTTATCCTCAATAGATGTAGGTGAAGCAAATGGGTAAAAACACCTGGAGGCAACTGCGTGATAGCGAAATTCTCGGCTTGAAAAATGCGCGAAACAGCAGGTGTGCAGATTTTGATGGAGGTGTGATAACGAAAATCGCGATAACCACGTGCTCTATAACCAATGGATGACTGTATTTCTTTTTTTGTCCTTTGATACCCCGTGAGTGTGCGTCAGGGCGTGGTTAATCACATAGTGGAGCCGAACATCCTCTTTATAAAGGCCGTAGTTGAAACGTTGTCGTCCCTCCCTCACTGGGGCTTCCCGCGTGTGAATCTACATGGATAAATATTAAACCTACAGGGACTCGTACCCTTGGTCCCTCACTAGCTCACATGGGACTCCGTTAGTGTGATAAAAGATTGCCACCCACCCACCCACCGACCCACCCACCGACCTACCCACCCACCGACCCACCGACCCACCCACTCTCTTGGGAATAAACTCGCTGGAATTTGAAGGCGTACAGCCAACAACATAACACTTGAAGGTGAAGCTGACTCAGTGGAAGTCTTTTGAAGGATTAGGCTCACAACACATCCTCTCAAGTGGAGGCTAAACCCGGTAAGAGTCATATGGTGAAGTGTACCTAAGAGGAACACTTGAGAGGTAAACCCACTTAGTGTCTTAAGATGGTGTAAACTTAACAGGAATCATAAAAGGAATTCAAGTGTTCTAAGTTGTATTCAGTGGGAGTATCGAAGGTAAACTTGGTGTAGAGGCTTTTGTAAACTCGCTTAGTATATCCTGTAAACCTAGTCAGTGTGTCTCCTTGGTATGAATTTAACAGGAGTTTCTCGTAAGGTGAAACCATTAAGTATCGATATATAGTAATAATAAACCAGGCAAGACTCTTCACTGTAAACTTTCCTAAGTATGTGAAGAGGAGGTGTAAAAGTTTTAGGATCAAAATACTACACATCCTCTTACAATTTTTTGAAACTTTTCTTTTTAAGGTTTTTAATTTCTATTCCATGTCGTATTTGCCTAAAGTAAACTAATTCCTTAAGTACTCCTATATGTAAACTGAGTTAGCTAACCCTCTTCTGTTACTCAGGGTTCCGAGAGACAGGTAAACTAGTTAGCTCATGAAGTGTTTTTTTGAGTTAATGTATTTATCACAGCATCTCTTGGTATCCTTTGGTAAACCTTACACTCTATCACCTGAAGGAGTAAACTAGTGTATGTTTTTCGTCTAAGGGGGTGAAGGGGGGGTGGAGAGTAAACACTTATGATCCTCTCTTGTGTGGGTTTAACTAGAGTTTACATTATCTAGTGGGTGGAGATGTAAAATTGTAGATCTTTTAGGTTTAACTGAGGTATATCACCTGGTAAGAGAGAAAAGTAAACCACAGTGTTCTTGAGGGAGGTAAACCACTTTAGGGTTTAACTGAGGTATACAATCACCTGGTAAGAGGGAAAAGTAAACCACAGTGTTTTGAGGGAGGTAAACCACTCTTTAAGGGTTTAACTGAGGTATACAATCACCTGGTAAGAGAGAAAAGTAAACCACAGTGTTCTTGAGGGAGGTAAACCACTCTTTAAGGGTTTAACTGAGGTATACAATCACCTGGTAAGAGAGAAAAGTAAACCTCAGTGTTCTTGAGGGAGGTAAACCACTCTTTACGGGTTTAACTGAGGTATACAATCACCTGGTAAGAGGGAAAGTAAACCTAAGTTGAGGGAGGTAAGCCACTCTTGAAGGTGTTGGGTAAGTTCTATATCACCTATCAAGAGGAAGAGTAAACCTCCATTAAACCCCTCCTGAAGGTGCAAGTGATGTAAGACCCACCAGGTGTTGGACAATAGAAAACTACTTCACTCCGGTAGTATAAGCTGGGGATGAGTCTCGGTCAGGGTGGGTCGGTCTTGTAGCTCAGAGAGAGAGAGAGGTATTACACACACACACACACACGCACACACACATTTATTGACCTGGCGAATGTAGATGTGGAAGTTTTTGTTTGTTTGTCTGCCGTCTGAGTGAAATCTCTCTCTCTATCCAACAAAGGAAAAACCCCACAAGCATCACCACGACCCATCACCCAGGACCAATATCCTCACCTCACCCCCCCCCCCAAAAAAAAATCACCTGAATTACGCAATGTTTTCCCTTGACTCGTAAACTCTACGTTAATATGGATTTTATAATGAGTTTTTAGGGAATGGGACAGCAGGTTCAGGAGAGGAGGTTCCCGGGAGTGTAAAGGTAGGACGGGGGTATTGTCAGTAATTTGGGCCACCCTCTTAAGGATTATAACTCTCTCTCTTCTCTCTCTAAAAGGTTCTTACCAGAGTTGACCTGAAATATGGAAGGGGATGCTCTTAAGCTTCCACACTGGTCCTTTGTGTGTGTGTGTGTGTGTGTAAAGGATCTTCAAGACGACGCAGAACAAGAGAGATGGTCACTTTCTTCTGGTGGTCGTCTGTAGTAGTAGTAGTAGTAGTAGTAGTAGTAGTAGTAGTAGTAGTAGTAGTAGTAGTAGTCGTATTAATCAGTCAACTACTGTTAGAAGATAAACTTGCCAGGAACTTTGTTAGAGTTGATGTGTTCTATTAAGTTGCCACCAAGTTTACACCTTCGTTTTTAAGGGATAACTGACTGGACTGGTGGAACTGCTTGTGAGGAGGGATGTGTCTTTGTACAGTACGTCTTGGGTTTTATTATCAGTAGTGTCGTTGTTTATTGTTGTTGTTGTTGTTGTTGTTGTTGTTGTTGTTGTTGTTGCTGTTGTTGTTGTTGTTGTTGTTGTTGTTGTTGTTGCTGTTGTTGTTGTTGTACACCATCCTTGAACGTACAGTACCACAAAAAATATTAATGATGATGATGATGATGATGATGATGATGATGATGATGATGATGATGATGATGATAATATAAGAAAGAAACTTGAATCAATA